TTCCTCCTTCGCTCCCTGAGCGTCTGTTCTCTGTCACTCTGGTGAGTGGCTCTGATCTCCTGTGAGAAGAACTGACTGAGAGTCTCAGCTTCAACCGTCACAGTCCGCTCCAGCGAGCTGACGAGTGAAGCCGAACTGAAGATCAGTTAAAAACGCCGAGACGTTACAAACAACCAGAGTTTATCTCCAACATTCAGCAGGAAACTTTTAAAACATGAAGAATTCTAAACAGAGTTTGGTGGATTTGTTACAGCAGCAGCTATTGTGGTACAGGAAGCAGAGGAACATGGGTAATACCCAGCATTCAGTTGCCTTTCAGTTCAGTGAGTGGGGCGACACAGTCAGAGCTCGACACATTGATACACTTACAGGGGGCGCTGTTGCTCAGTATAAGTTATTTAGCGTTAGCTTTAAATGTCCTTCATGTTTGTTGACATGACTCGATTCTTCTCTGTCTGACAGATGAGCTGGTTTCATCTCTTCAGAGAAGCTGGAGGATGTTTACACACTTTAAATCTTCCGAACCACTTTTTTGGCTTTTTGATTGATTTTAGTTCGACCTGATGAGATTGTTTGTGTGATACGAGATTTTAAAATCATAATTTGACCCTTTTAGTGATGGAGATGTGAATATTGTTGGTTTCTGTAGGAGCACATCCGTCCATAGATCCATCAAACATGGACGCGCTATAAAAGGTTTGATGGATCAGCAGCTCGCTGTGAGATGACTTTATAACTTCCTCCTCCCGCTCTGTTAAATGCAGACAGAGCGACACGTGTTCACACACAAACAGCTGCAGAGGATGAAGTTTCTCATGGACGCTTCTGTAAAGCTCCTTTAAGAGTTTTCAACTATACTAAAACAGGGAAATGAATACTTTCTGCTGCGATTGTCCAGATGTGCTTAGCTGTGTCACCAGTACGAGGTTGTGGTGTCTCACAGACAACAAAACACGGTAGCCAAGGTGAGATGAAAAACAAAGATCGTCGTCTTGGTTACTCAAACATGTTGTTTCTGAACATTTAAAACCACAGCAGGATTATTCCTTGTGTGGTCTGATGTCTGAAAACCTTCATAATGCTGATCTCACTCCAAATAGATCAGAAATTCTGATGGAAAACAAAAATATTTACTACTTTGCAGCGAAACAAATCTTCTCGCATTTACGTTTCCTACCTATTTGCGGTTTTAATTAGATAAAAATGTACTTTTAATGAAACTCTGAGGTAAAAGCATTAATGTCTACGACCACTGGAGGGATTCGTCACTTAAACATAAATAAATGCCTTTTAGTTCTTTTTTAGTGTTCACCTGAATAAGCGATGACTCTACTGACCCACTTTAAAAGTTTTAAATCACAGTGTCACATTCAGCGCGAACAGGAAACTCGACACACACGGCCCCGTAACGTCTGCGCCCTGCAAATGTTTTATTTTATTCATCGATCACGCCGCAGCAACAGCTTCACCACTTCCGCTTTACAATTTCCCATCATGACAAACGACACTGTTGCTCCACCTTAAAGGACAGAAAGTGTGTAGAAGTTAGTTTAGATCTTCTAAATCTTTGCACTGAGCAAAAGACTTTGTCAATATCCAGCTTTAACAAAGTAGAGCTTCCACTTCCATTTCTTATTTAATCTAATGGTTTCTTTTCTGGAGCTGCTCTTTTTCTTTCGGGGTTTCCATCAGCAGTGAGAGCCTCTGCTCTGAGTCTGCGTTGCACTAAAGCATTTCCCTGCATGTTGTGGCCTGTTCTCCTCATCAGACCCCATCACTGTGAATCAGCGCTGTCTAACACCCGCCTACAGCTCGACACGTATCCCCGCACACATTCTGTTCTTTTATGAGTGGAGGTGTTTTTCAGCAAAAAAACATTAGAGTTGATCAATCTATCAAGAAACCCTAAACTCTGAGCCCAGGCCCTAAAACATCCCATCATGCACCAGCTCAACCCTTCATGATTCAACACCTGACGGCATTTTGATTTAAGTTATACCAAAGCGTGAAAAGTAATAAAAAAGAAATGTCGTACCCATCTCCCACGACCACACATTTGATCGCCTGCATCCTGTTCCGCTCAGCTTCGTCTGTGCTCGCTGACAGAAACACTCGGAGGGGAAGGTGCAGAGACGCAGACGACAGGAAACTGTTACACACCTCCCTCGCTCCCCTCCCTCTGCTGCCTCTCGTTCTTCCTCCCTCTCTCTCTCTCTCTCTTCCTTCAGCCCTGCACTCATCTCTCCTTCCTGTTTTCTGTTGTGCTTTGTGTTCCGTCTCCTAAACAGTAGAACTTGTGTAATTTGCGAGTAAATGGTGTAAATAAAAGTGAGGTGAAGTTGCAACAGACTGACGGTGTGAAAATGGACATGAAGGGTTTTGTAAGAGGGAAGATGTTGAAGTAACAACTACACAGGCTTCATTTGAAACGTCCTCCTTTTGCAACATAAACCTATCCTTAACCTAAACCTAACATAAACCTATCCT